AGCAGCATAGCAGCATAGCGTGAGACGGCGATCTCGTCACTTGGAAATTCAGACGACAACCTCGGCACGGCGCCTGCGCCAGCAGTGCGGTGCGGTGCGGTGCGGTGCGGTGCCCAATTTTGGAGTCACAAAGTACGTAAGTGCGCTAAAGGTCGCGATATCGGGTGCCGGCGTACCTCGCTTGTTGTACCCAGGCCAATGCTGCCCACGCGCAGTGGCGTCATGCAATCAATCAATCGACATTCTTTCCTGAACGCCGCCCGCGACCGCATCCATCACGCTCGCTCAAAGCTCACGACTACCAAATACTCGTGACTCGTGACTGTGTACGATCACATCGGAAGCGTGGCGGACGGGTGTCAGCGCTGCCTACATGTTCATGTTCAGGTTGGATCACAAGCTGGATCCCATCGAGTGAATGCGGTGTAGACCGATCAGGCTTGCCCCGATTCACAGCTCGCAGTCTTGAGTATTTGGCCTCTCGTCCACGCGCTCGTACAGCCGCAAGGGAGCAGAGGCGAGCCGCAAAAGACGCACCCTGTGTCATTCCCGAGTGTGAATCAAGAAATGGTGAAGAGTGAATCACAATCGTGAATCACAATGGGGAAGACGCGTGATCGCACCTCTTGTTATGCTGATGAGCCAGCAATACGTCCGGAGCAGCGTCAAATCTGGAATAGTATATCCCCTCATTCACATTCAAATCCGTTCATTTGCGGATCTCGAAAATCACGAATCTTGAATTACCAATTGAGGTCTGAGTGTGAATCAAGAATATCATTCTGAGTCAAGCCTGTTCAGCAATCGCGTGCATGGATGCAGCAATCTGCTGCAGCCGCTTGTGGACGCACCGCACCCCACCGCACGCGTTGGCGCCAAATTTGGAACGCCGATTGCGGTGCATGCGCCGAGCCGCCTACTTATATATAGCTGCCGCGTGATCGACTGAGTGACTGATTCACTGGACCAAGCTGCTTGTTTGATTGTGATTGATGACCGCGCTGGATCGAAGACCGATTCATCGGAGGTCCGTCCGCATTCTGATTCGGGTGCAATGGTTGGTTGGTGCATGACGAAAGAGATTATTGCGCGCTGACCTCGCCTCAAGCAGCACCTCCGCTGCTCTTCTCATCCCCTGGCTTCTCACCTGGCTGCACGTGACGCCTGTCACCGGGCGTGCCGTCGTCCGGGTTGCCGGAGTCGAAAGCCCGCGTTTGCGGGGAAATGAAACCAACGTGATGGAGAGGGGTGGAGAGGGATACGTATGAGAGAGAGAGAGAAAGAAAGCGTGGCACTCGATCATTGTGACTGACGATCAGTGTGATGGCTGTAGAGCCAACATCATCGCTGCCCTCTTGCTTTGGCCATCGGGCATACAACCGATCATCCTTGCTCCGCTTGCCGTCCCTGCTCGACATACACTGCTCACGAGTCTCGTTTCAAGATGACGGCAAACAGCAACCACAATGCCCCCGTCTGCACGCCAGAGTCTCGTCAAGCTGGGGATCTGCAGAATGAGCGATCGCAGATCACATTCTCCACCGACGATGCTTCTTGCGTCTTTGCAGGATCTAGAGAAGCTAGGGATAGAAATCGATGGCTCCTCTCCTTGCTCAGAGATCATCCGGACAAAGTGTTTGACAAGGATAGTCGACCTTTTTTAGGTCGCACAGAGAGGTTCTTGAGAGGACAAAAGGTCGCGCAGGCGTACTACGAGTTGAGGAACAAACATGGGTGCGTGGTAGAGTCCAGCTTGAAGCCTGAGCAAGCCTTTTTGGGAGGAGGAGGGGGGGCGCTGAAGATGACTCTAGGTCTGAAGCCTTGGACCTTGCGCAAGGTCATCCTGACGCGGACTCGTTTCCCTGCCTGCACAGACTGCAAAAAGAGGACAGGGATCGTCTGCGTCTGCTTCTGGACGAATACATTCCGCTGCAAGTGCACGAATCCATGGGGCAACCCACCATCGAGTCGCAGTCCAGTCCAGAACAATTGCAAGAGTGGGGTCCAAAAGTGAGCAGTGGCAGATGGCTGGTGTGCTATGCTCAGACCGAGCTCGCCCATGGTTCCAATCGTAAGTCGCGCTGAAGAAACACAGAGGAGGCAAGGTTTCAAGGGTCGCGATGACTCGCAGCGGAACCGGAATACTTGTTCACACCGGCTGAGCTTTTGTTCTCTGTGGCAGTCTCTGGTCTGCGCACTACCGCCACGCTGGATACGGGCAGCGATACTTGGATCATCGACACTCCAGAGCCATCAGCTGGGAAATGTTGGATTGGTGAGCAAAGGCTTGCGCAGAGCCCCGATCCTGCCCGAGCTGACGCTGGCTTCTCCTTCCCTTTGCGCCCGTGTGCGTCCCTTTAGGAGGCAGTGGCATGACAACCACGCATGCAATAGTCATGGCACAAATGTCGATCAACAACAAGTCCTTCGGCATGCATCCTTTTCTAGTGCCCATGCGCGATCCGGAAACGCACAAACTCTTGCCTGGCGTCTTTGCGATGGACATGGGTCCCAAAGTCGGAGCGCCGGCGATGGATAATGGCTACATCACCTTCGACCACGTCAGTATACCCAGGCAGAACCTGATGGGCAAGTTCCAGCATGTGGATAAAGGCGGCAAATACCAGACGAGAAATCAGGCCGCCAAAGCTCTGACCAGGGGCGCAATGGTGAGCATCGACATGCCGACGAGCGTATGGACTTCGCTCACCATCGACCTCGCTCACAAACTCGTGCAGACGCTCGTACGAGTCGGCTTGATCGAAATAGCTGCACACCACGCTGCAAGAGCTACGTGAGCCGAACACGTCGTGGCTATGCTCCTCTGAACAGTCAGAAGTAGCACGTCAAAGCTGTGTCATGCTGACGATGCTCACCCGTCCGCGGCAATCGCAGTCTCGTCGCAATGCGGTACTCCTTGGTGCGACGACAAGGATCTTCCAAAGGCGGAGCAGAACCTCAAATTTTGGATTACTCCAGCGTCCAACAACGCCTCTTTACCTGCTTGTCCACCTCCTGGGCACTCAATTTCGTAGGTCAGCACATGCGCTCCATCTACAATGACCTTCAAAGCGCTCTTC